AGCCTGTCCGAAATCAGTTTCATGAGGTGCCTTCGTGCAAAACACTGCCTACAAAGTCATAACAAAGATACTGTATATAAATACTGTAACAATTGTATTGTTCATTGTTAGTTAATGTTAGTTAATGCATTAACTAATGCTAACTAAAGGAACCTTATTGTAAAGAGTTACAGAAGTAGTCAATATAATACTGATAACTTTCACAATGCTAATGAACATACTTTTTTTATTTAATTAATTAATTAATCAGTGTTCCTGTGGTTCAGGGGTAGAGCATTGCGTTAGCAGCGCAAAAGGTAGAGGGTTCAATTCCCAACACACATACTGGTAAAAAATGTATAGCCTGAATGCACTGTAAGTCGTCTGCTAAATGCATAAATTATTATTATTAATTAATCAGTGCCTATAATTAAAGGAATGGTTCACCCAAAAATTTAAATTTGCTGAAAATTTACTCACCTTCAGGTCATCCAAGATTGAGTTTGTTCCTTCAAGGTATCAGATTTGTAGAAATGTAGCATTACATCACTTGCTCACCAATGGATCCTCTGCAGTGAATGGGTGCCGTCAGAATGAGAGTCCAAACAGCTGATAAAACCATCACAATAATCCACAAGTAATCCACACCACTCCAGTCCATCTTGTTAACATCTTGTGAAGTGAAAACCTGCAATCCATCAGGGCGTTTTTAACTTCAAACCATTTTTTCCCGCTAAAATGTGAGTCCTCTATTCATAATATTGCTTTCTCCAGTGAAAAGTTTACCTCGTCTGAATCAGGACAGAAATATGCACAGAACAAGCACTGTTTGCAAGCGAAACATACAGTTCAAAACAATTCTACACAACTATATCAGTGGATTTTGATGTGAGAGGACAACAGAGGATGAACGTTTTCACTGGAGGAAGCGTTATTATGGATTCTGGACTCATATTTTGGGCAGAAGCTACCATTTAAAGTTAAAAAAACCTTGATGGATTTATGGAGGCTTTTGGCTTCACAAGACATTAACTGATGGACTGGAGTGGTGTGGATTACTGGTGGATTATTGTGATGCTTTTATCAGCTGTTGGGACTCTCATTCTGACGGCACCCATTCACTGCAGAGGATCCTTTGGTGAGCAAGAGATGCAATGCTACATTGCGAGCACATTTTAGCAAATTTTCATTTTTGGGTCAACTATTCATTTATGTTAGTTAACTAATGGAACCTTGTGCTTGATTTGATTCTGGTAAATTCTGGATCTAAAATCCAGCCGCACCATTCACTCATGCAGTTTGTGTGTTTCTTAGCACACTCAGAGTCAAATAAACCGCAGGAGTTTGCCCTCGACCTGCGTTTGCTCTCAGCATGAGGGATGTGTGTGTACGTGCTTCTACACGTCCCTCGCGCTCTCTCTGTCCTCTTTTCCCGCCACGCCCGTCTCTGGACAAACAATGTCCTTTTTATGGCTGAGTCGCTGTGCGCTAACACACACGAGTGTCTGACAGGACACAACTCAACCTTCTCTTCTGCTCGTTTGCTGTTTTGGTCCCTGTCGTTTTGTCCCCAAAGTCCTTTATTCTGCACATTTTTAGAAAAGTCATTTTAAAGACATCAAATAATGTCCATGTGTGTGAAATAACTAAAGATTATTGGCTGTTGGGTAAGAAATAAACAAGAAACGGTCTTACTGATGAACGCAAACCTGAGTTTGGTGTTGATTCGGCAGGACTCCTACAGGAAGCAGGTGGTGATTGACGGGGAGACGTGTCTCCTGGACATCTTGGACACTGCAGGTCAGGAGGAGTACAGCGCCATGAGGGACCAGTACATGAGGACAGGAGAGGGCTTCCTCTGTGTGTTTGCCATCAATAACACCAAGTCCTTTGAGGACATTCATCAGTACAGGTGTGTGTTTGTTTTTGTGTGTGTGTGTGTGTGTGTGTGTGTTTGAAAATCAGCTGTCTGGCGGAAACGGGTTTTCACCGTTTGGAATTTGCCCTCAAAATAACCCTCACATTTCTTTAAATATATGTTGAAAGAAGAAAATGAATATTAGAAGATTTTTATTTTTTTGCTGTGTTTCCTTTAAGTCTTCTGTATGTAAATAATTCTGTTATGATTGGCTAACCTTTTTAAATGTGAAATAAGGTAATTGGTGTTGATTGTGTCAATTAGGAGGTCAAATATCTGTGTGCTTTTGGTTGTGATCATGTTTGAACATGCCGTTTAAAAGCGCAGTCACATTAGCAAAGTTGTCAGCAGGGTAGCGATGTTTGAAGCACAGCTCACAGAAGTCACATTTAAACCATGCAGCTTTCTATTGGTCATCGCAACGGATTTACGTGACAAATTTGAAACTGTTGCGAAATCTGAATTTCACATGAAATTCCTAATTGCAAAGGTTTATATAGAGAGTACTGGATTTCGCCCTTGAAAATACACCGAAATGTTCACGATAAATGCGACTGCACATTAAAGGCACAATATGTAATTTTTGCCACTAGAGGGCACATATTCAAAAGCGTAGTTTGATGACGCCATGATTGTGGAATCATGGTTAGATTCATATATTTAATACATTTTAATTAATACATTACAATTAATAAAATTAAGAAGAATGTAAGAATTTCGCTCTGAAACATGATAATTGCTATTTATCAGCATGCTTAATTTTAGACAATAATCCAAGAATTTCGTTACAAACAGTAAACAATTAGGCCTACTAGAGAAATTTTATGTCGGAGCGGGATCTGAGCGGGAATTGGTTCACGGTGAGCGTGAGCGGAATATTAACGGAGCGCTTGCTTGTGCGGTTAGAGCGACTGAGTGGAGCGCATGTCCATAGAGCGGAAAACGTAGCGGAGCGTCACACACACAGTGTCCTCTGATTAAAACACATAACATATTAAAGCGTCTTTGATGTTGAAATCTAGGGGTTATGACGTCATTGGCAGGCGACACAATGACACTATGGACACGGTCCGTGTCACTAGTTAAAATTAAACATTCTTCGAAACATTTGGGATAATGTAAGTACACAAGTCAGCAAAATATATAACAATGTTCTAGTAGTTTTTGGATATTTTAATAAAAAAATCTTACATATTGTGCCTTTAATAAATGGTCTGTTTATCTACACAGTACATTAAAGGGGTCATGTGATGCAATTTCAAGTTTTCCATTCTCTTTGGAGTGTTACAAGTTGTTCGTGATTAGATAAGATCCCTAAAGTTGCAAAGACTAAAGTCCAGGGTTCGTACGGTCATGAAAAACCTGGAAAAGTCATGGAATTTTAAAACACCAATTTCCAGGCCTGGAAAAGTTTTGGAAAAATAAATAAACCCAGAAAGTTTTGGAAAAGTCATTGAAATCTATTTCACAAAACTCTGTATAATAGAATTGTGTTTACTCAGGTCCTGAATTTCGGTGCGGGATTGCGCATAGGCTATATCGCATAGTTTGACTCATTCCCGCAGCTTTTGACTTTAAAATGATGGATATTACGTATCGACCAAGTAACGACCAAGCGGCCAGTGGGAGACAGTGAGTTAATCATAGCCTATGTTTGATCAATTTAGCCTTCTCAAATCATCACCACTTGACTAAAATAAAATCTATAGGCCTATATAAAATGCTTAAAAAAAACAATGTTAGTTTAAATGGTTAACCTAGATAAATGTGTGGATGCCTCGTTCATAATGGGTTTTCATGTTTTTGAATCATCGCTCTGGCCTGACAGGGCATCATCACAATATGGTAAGGGGCGTAACATTTCCGTCACACGTTTGAGGTATTCGGCCAATCACAACGCACTGGATAGCTGGCCAATCACAGCACACCTCACTTTTTCAGACCGATGAGCTTTGTAAAAATCGACACGTTTCAGAAAGGCGGGGCATAGAGGAGAAACAATAATGTACAGTATGTGGAAAATAATGTGTTTTTTTAACCTTAAACCGCATAAACACATTTCATTACACCAAATACACAAAATAATGTTTTTTTTGCAGCATCATATGACCCCTTTAAAATTTAGTTTTTTTTTTATTTTAATTTGTCACATTATTTTCATGGCATAAAACAGATTTTTATTACCATGATCCACAAAATCTCTTTCTCATTACTGTACTCAGAACGAAAGTATTGATATATTTGTTAAAATGTGAAGTGTTCATAAATCAGAGTAGTATTGTTGTACTGCTTTGAATTGCGCTAATTTAGAAAAAACTATTTTATACAAGTAATATATCATTTCCATATCTTTATTTTTATAGATTTAATTTAATTATTATATATTGTATATATTTATTTTATATATTGTATATATGATTTATATAATCTAAATATAATTTAAAGGGGTCATATGATGTTGCTAAAAAGAACATTATTTTGTGTATTTGGTGTAATGAAATGTGTTTATGCATTTTAAGGTTCAAAAAACACATTATTTTCCACATACTGTACATTATTGTTTCTCCTCTATGCCCCGACTTTCTGAAATGCGTCGATTTTTACAAAGCTCGTCGGTCTGAAAAGCGAGGTGTGCTCTGATTGGCCAGCTATCCAGTGCGTTGTGATTGGCCGAATATCTCAAGCGTGTGACGGAAATGTTACGTCCCTTACCATACTGTGATGAAGCCATGTCTGGCCGGAGTTCCCACATATGACCCCTTTAAATTATAATGTCGGCATTAAATGGAAGTTGCGATGTGTCCTTATTGTGACGTGTGTGTATATATCTAAGTGAAATGGCTTTCAACAAAAAAATGTAAGGCGGGATTTAATCCATTTTTTGAGTTGATTCAATAGTTGGATCGATGTTGTTTGCTATTGGTGCGTTCTCATGTGGGTGACAGGTTGTCCCGCCCCCTCTCGCTGATACACATGTCACCAGCGAAGAGATGCCATTGCAAAGGAAGTTATTTTGATTAAAGATTACGAGGGCACATGAATAATAAAAAAAAAAATACAAATGTGCACGGATTAATCATTTATAATAAACACTGCAGTATTCAATATATATATATACATATATATATATATATATATAAAAATAATTGTCAGTTTTGATTTTATGGTTCTTTTATTTATTTATTTGTTTGTTTATTTATTTATCGATCTATCTCTCTATCTATCCACCTTTTTATTTTTGTGTGAAATATAGCCTGGGCATGTTTTTGTGTTACCCAGGCCAAGAGCTGAAGTTGACGTGTTAAACTGTAAATCACAGAAAGTGGCGTCTTACGTGAGCCCATCAACCCTGTGACCTCCGAAATCACGTTAGCATTGATTCTGGTTCCCACTATCAGCTCTTAGTGTTATTTATCAGCACGTTTGACAAAACAACAGAAACACAACTTGGATTACACCCGTCTGATCCTTAAATTGCATTATGACTGAGCATCCGTCGCAAAATATTCGTTTGTGCCTGAAAGGACAGCAGAAAGTGAGATGGAGTATGATAGTGCAGTGCCAGTGAAATCGATCAGTCAATTAGACTAAAGGAGAGCGAGAGAGCTTTCAAGGACATGAAAGGAGAAAGCAAAAGGAGGATAACTGGATTATATCCATCCATTTGTTGTTTGTGGGTAATGGGGTCTAGATAATGGATTTTTAATACATGAAGTACAGAACAACATGGGGAACAGTAATGCACTGTTTAATATCAGCCGCAGGTGACAGTTAAGTATAATAATCAGTTTGCATTATATACACTATCAGTCAAAAGTTTGGAATAATTAAACACAAAATCAGTATGTTATACTGATTTCTGAAGGATCATAAGACACTGAAGACTGGAGTAATGATGCTGAAAATTCAGCTTTGATCACAGGAATAAATTATATTATTAAAATATATTACAATAGAAAACAGTTACTTTAAATTGTAATAATATTTCACAATATTACTGATTTTACTGCATTTTTGATCAAATAAATTCAGCCTTGGAGATCATAAGAGACTCAAAAAAACCTTCTGACAACAGGATTTATTTCAATGCCCATGTTGCTGTATTTTTGATCAAATGAATGCAGCCCTGGTGAGCAGAAGAGACTTCTTTCCAAACTTTTGCCTGGTTTATTCTTCTCATTCAGATTGAAAATGTAATGTTTTGGAAACTGACAAACTTGCAAGGTATTCAACGTAGAGTCTGTATGATATATTCTAGGGATGCACGATATATCGGCCACCATATCGGTATCGGCCGATAAATCGGTATCGGCCAAAATTTTCATATCGGTGCATCCCTAATATATTCATGTCTGATTCACATTATATTCATGCAGACACTTTTAAACATTCACTGGTATTCGAACCCATGACCTTGGCGTTGCTAGCGCCATAATCTATCGCTTCAGAAACGCATGAAAGACGGCAAACTAACCATCATGGAACCACAAAACGCATGGACGACTCAACTCACAACTGATTTCAATAGAATGTGGTGTTAGCATGTTGCTATGCTAACTACATGATAAATACTGAAATTTCAAAATGATTTACCAAACTCACATTTCAAAAACATATTGCAAATCAGATCTAACATTTGACATGAATGGTATCATATACGTTGTTTTTACCTTCAAATTATGCAAAAAAAAGTGTATTTCAGGTCGGTCCAGTCGATGCACATGTAGTGTTTAGAGCAATCTCTGAGCAAAAGTTTTGTCGACTGCTTCTTTTGCTGGCTTCATGTGCTATCGGAAACTTCCTGCTTCCCACTTCTGAAGTTATAATTATTATATAAGTTATAGTTATAATCCTCTTCATCTCTCACTCGCCGCAAACTAACTGTTGGAGGGCTGTGGTTGATGATATTCTCCCTGAGTCGTCAAACTGACCTCTCTCGTGATTCTCTCGTGCTGAGAATGTACAGAAACGTGCAGATTTTGATTAAAGATTACCAAGACACGGATTAACTTGCATAGATTAATTGTTCAACTCAAGATGTGTGCTAAGAGAGTGAATTTTGATTTCATGTTTCTCCACATTTTGTTTCCGATCAAATGTCTGCCCCCAGTCTGGTTGTGTTTGACCGTGACATCTTGTGTTGGCTCTCAGGGAACAGATCAAACGGGTGAAGGACTCGGATGATGTGCCCATGGTGCTGGTGGGTAACAAATGTGACCTCCCGGCCCGGACGGTGGACACGCGACAAGCACAGGAGCTCGCGCGCAGCTACGGGATCCCCTTCATCGAGACCTCGGCCAAAACACGACAAGTGAGTTTTTGTCAGGCAGTTAAAGAATTATTTATTTATTTGTTATTTTATTTTATTTATTTATTGGAACAAAACTAGTCAGACTGTCCAACATCCAAATTTCTTAAAGTATAGTCATCTACATTTGTACTTTTGTATACCCACCTACAGTACAGTATTTCTGCAGTATTTTTTTTTTTGCTTTGCTTTAATTCCTTTCTTTTCTTTTTTTGTGTGTTTTATGTGGTTTTTGTTTTTCACACACACACACAGACAGGGTGTGTTGTATAACACTGCAGGGAATGACTCACTGCCGCTTTGTGTTTTGCCCATCTGACGAGAACTGTGAGGAAGAGACCAAGACCACACATTCATCATCACATTACTCTTGTATGTCTGTCACTTTCATGTGTTTTCATCACTAGCTGCAGTGCTGTGCTTAGAAATGTTATTCAGACCTGTTACTGATCTGTGAGATGTGTTCTGACCAATCACTGCTCTTGAATCTCTTGATAGCGTCCGCATTGGTTAGCATTGTTTTGCCGTGTGTGTGCAGGGTGTGGAGGATGCGTTTTACACGCTGGTGCGAGAGATCCGTCAGCACAAGATGAGGAAGCTGAACCCGCCAGACGAGAGCGGACAGGACTGCATGAGCTGCCGCTGCGTCGTGTCGTGATCCAGGTGCCAGAATACACATAATGTTAGGACACCATAAACAGAAGGCATGAATGACTGTGTGAAACTGCACAACACATCGATTTGACTCTGAAAACGAGTCGGTGATCTCTGATCACACTAAATAAACTGAAAATCATCACTAGCAATCACAGAATGGCTGAGAAATGCCACTTGAAAGGCCAGCACTTCAGAGAGATTATATTTATGTATTTATTAATGTTGTTTGTTAAAGCAAGCTTCACTATTACCATTGTCTTTTTTTTTATGAAAAAATCTTTCATGTGTATGATGGGATTTATGTACACCACCACCCAAAATACATTTTCTTCTGCTCACCAAGGCTGCATTTATTTGATCAAAAACACAGTAAAAACTGTAATATCGTGTAATATTATTACAATTGAACTGTTTTCTACTTGAATGTATGTTAAAAAATGTTCAGCATCATTACTGATTTGCTGCTCGAGAAACATTTCTGCTTATATTTTAACAAATAGAAAGTTCAAAAGAGCAGCATTTATTTGAAATATAATTTTTTTGTAACATTATAAATGTCTTTACTGTCATTTTTGATCAACTGAATGCCTCCTTGTAGAAGAAATTGATACTTTCATTAAAAAAAACAATTTTACTGACCGGAAACTTTTTAACGGTAGTGTACTTCACCTCAAAAAGTCTATACATTTTTAAATATATGCAATGTTTTTAATATTAATGATATTATTGTATTTATGTGTTTACTTATTTAAAATTAATTATTCGTAACAACAGCAATAATAATAATAATAATAGGAGCAGCATTTACTTCACAGAGCCATAGTTCACGGAGAAGCTATGCAAACAGCTGTCATTATCGCAAACGATTTCTTCGATTTCAGAATCGCACAATTAAAATCGTCTGGGGAAATTTTTATATATTTTTATATATTCAGTGACTTTTTTCAGTGAACTACGGCTATGTGTAGTAAATGCTGCTCCATCTGAAAGCATGTGATGATGATGTACTGCTGATTACAGAACCGGCTTTTTTAACAAAATGCGCATGACACATAAGTGGGATTGTGGCGATAAAAGCACCCCATATGGCTGCTAAGATTAATGTATTATTTAATAATGAATAATATGGGCATTGAAATAATTACGATTGTCAGATTTAAAAAAAAAAATTTTTTAGTCTCTTCTGCTCACCAAGGCTGCATTTATTTGTTCAAAAATGCAGTAAAATCAGTAATATTGTGAAATATTATTACAATTTAAAATAACTGCCTTCTGTGTGAATATCTGTTAAAATGTAATTTATTCCTGTGATGTAAAGCTGTGTTTTCAGCATCATTACTCCAGTCTTCAGTGTCACATGAACCTTCAGAAATCATTCTAATATGCTGATTTGACGGTCAGTTTATAAATTATTATTGGTGTACAGTTATTAATAATGGTTCTTATTATTATGAGTGCTGAAAACTACATTTTTTTCAGGATTATTTGATGAATTGAAAGTTCAACAGAACAGCATTTATTTGAAAAATATTAATAATAAGTAATGTTTCTTGAGCAGCAGATCAGCATATCAGAATTATTTCTGTAGGATCATGTGACACTGAAGACTGGAGGAATGATGCTGAAAATTCAGCTTTACATCACAGGAATAAATTACATTTTAAAACATATTACAATATAAAACCGTTGTTTCATTTGTAATAATATTTCACAATATTACTGATTTTACTGCATTTTTAAACAAGTAACTGATTCTTTCAAAACATTAAAAACTGTAATTATTGGTTCTTATTATTATGAGTGCTGAAAACTACATTTTTTTCAGGATTATTTGATGAATTGAAAGTTCAACAGAACAGCATTTATTTGAAAAATATTAATAATAAGTAATGTTTCTTGAGCAGCAGATCAGCATATCAGAATTATTTCTGTAGGATCATGTGACACTGAAGACTGGAGGAATGATGCTGAAAATTCAGCTTTACATCACAGGAATAAATTACATTTTAAAACATATTACAATATAAAACCGTCGTTTCATTTGTAATAATATTTCACAATATTACTGATTTTACTGCATTTTTAAACAAGTAATTGAAGCCTTGATGAGCAAAATATGCTTCTTTCAAAACATTAAAAACTAATTATTCCAAACTTTTGACCGGTTGTGTGTGTGTGTGTGTGTTTATTAATTACACCATTAATCACTAGTAACAGCAACAACAAAAAAAAACTTAGTTCCCCAAACCTAGCAGAACTGTACATTGTACACTAGGTAGACCATAAAGGCAGCTCTTCACGAGTTTTTATGTTTTAGACAGCAGTTTGTTTATCAGTGTAAGTGTGTTTGTGTGTGGCTGTACATCAGTCACTGACCTGAATAAATGCTTCCTTCCATGCTTTTGTTGTCCTAGAAAGACAGTAATGCTTATGTGCGGTTTATTTGTACTGAATGACCTTTAGTTGGTAGATCATAGTTCATCACAGTAAATCTCGCTATTGGCTCTTTCTGACAATCACATGGTTTATTGCGCCGAAGCGAGAACTCTTAAGAAGTTCTCACACACTTCTGGTTGCGATAAACACCGCAGAGTCTTCAGGAGCGAAAGCACACTTCCTCTGCTCTGGCTCGACCTGTGTATCATCTGAAGTCATGACAGTTACACCAGTCCGTGATCTGAGGAGGATCTTACCCAGGGTAAAAGTCTGAGGATTTCTTATGGAAATGTCTTGCAGTTTGTCTTTCCTAAGTGTTTTTTACATATACGAAGTCATTATGAGAGTCGTGTGTGTGTGTGTGTTTTCAGACGTATAATCACAGGAGAGAGGTTCTGTCGGAGATCGCTACGGTCGTGTCTCAGCATCAGCACCTTCAGCCAGTGCTGGAGAGATTTGGTGAGCAGTTCAGTTCAGTTGATTCAAAGAGCGCTTTCCACAGCAGCACATCTGTCAGCATTCTATATCAACTCTGAAGGTTTACTTATTATGTTTTATTTAGCTGTTATACATTAAATTCTACAGTCTTAAAAATCCAACTTCCACTTGAAGCAAAACAGTTTTAAATGTTGATGTTGTGTAGGAGAAATCTTATTCTCAATGCTCTGGTGCTTTAAATAATAATGATAATAATATAATAAGCATTTAATTCATCACAAAATAATTGTATAATAATTTAAATAATTAAAAATAAATAACGAAGTAAGTATTTTAAAGTAATACAAAATTATTACTTTTAGCACTTAATATGCTTTTATTAACTTAAGTTTATATCATATTCAGTAGCCTGCTATTTGTTGATGTGTATATTTTATGTAAATATAATAATTTAATTTACAAGTCGTGTGGTTATGAATCAGTGTTTTCCTAGTGATTCATACTTATTTTTTAAAATGTTTTTCACATTCAGACCTTTCTCATTTTAGAAGGACATGTGAAAATATGTAATTATGCAGATATATATATATATATATACACTGGGATATTACAATTAGGCATCACAACATATTCACTCACATAATTAAACGATTCTGAAAAGTATTTTTAAGTAATATAAAATTTTGTAGTACTTTTACATTGACAATAAAGAGTATGACTTGACTTGAATTTTATGTAATTAATAAATTACTTACTGAAAAATATATATGTAAATCACGTTTTAGTACGGCTTGATGATATTAAAAAAATTTAACAGCGATTTTGTCAGTTATTTTATATGAAGAAAAGTTTACAGTGCAAAGCTAATGTTTTACAAAGAACCACTGACCCTTTTTAAAAGTGTCATGTTTAAAAATATGTTCATAGTGCACAGAATTGACTTATTTCTTTAAGGAAATCGGTTTGTAATATTCTTGTAATTTCTCCAGTCTTTAATGATGGCACAGCGAAGACCTTGGCTGGTTTGACTGGAACAATTAAGGTGTTTTATGAAGGTAAGTTTCACCATAAAGATAACTGGACTTTACTTCGGTTTCACGGTCGAGAAAGAGATTATTATTACATGTCTAAGAATGCACCGAACAAAACATTGTGCTTCAGGGAAACACTACAATATTCCAGTGAGTTTGTGGCTGAAGGAAAGTTATCCGCGCACTGCGCCCATCTGCTATGTGAAACCCACGCCGGAGATGCTGATCATGACCGGCAGACACGTTGACAGCAGTGGAGAGATCCTGATGCCTTACCTGGATGAGTGGAGACATGTGAGTCTACAGCATGCTACAATGGGTTTGACCTGCCTCAATACAAAGCATGTATTCTCATGAAATGATTTGCTTGTTTTTTTTTTTTTTTTACAGACGCAGTGTGACCTGCACAGCTTGATTCAGGTTATGAAGGCCGTGTTTAGTGAAGTTCCTCCTCTGCGTATGCGTCTTTACCCAGAAGACTGTGAGTATAGTTTGCTTATTCATTCCCATAAACTCTTCATATCTGTGTAGAGCAGCTTCACTCCTGAATCCCTTCTTCTGTCCTAATTACTTCAGGGAAACAGATAAGTAGGCCGTTTAGACCTAGTTTAGGTGATCTGAAATGTGATAAAGTGTCCAAAGGTTGATGTAATTTTATGTTTTGATTTTATGTTTTGACAATTATCATTGTCATGTTACAGCAAAAAAAAAAAGTAAATTTGATACGGCTGCTGTATTGTTTTGCAGTCTTAAAGGGGTCCTATTATGCTTTTTCACTTTTTCAACTTTAGTTAGTCTGTGATGTTGCTGTTTGAGCATAAAAAAGATCTGCGAATTTAAAGTTATATACGTGTATTATTTTCTATATTCCAGCAATACAAATACAGAGATCTCACTGTTCGAGAGATAACAAACGTCATCTCTCAGTACAAAGACCTCAAACCTGTTATGGATGCGTACGGTAAGATTTCCTCATCCTGGGTCTCTGGAAACGTAATTCTTTGAGTTTTCCATCAATAACTGCTGTTTCTTTCACAGTGTTTAATGACGGATCGTCCAGAGACTTGATGAGCCTCACAGGAACCGTTCCAGTTAGTTATAGAGGTGGGTTAGAGAACTGTTTATCGTGTAAAGATGAAGGCAGCATTATAACATATACAGTAACCACACGTGTTTTCCCATTTCAGGGAATGTGTATAATATCCCCGTGTGCTTGTGGCTGCTGGATACGTATCCCTACAATCCTCCGATATGTTTTGTGAAGCCCACCAGTGCGATGATGATCAAGACCGGCAAACACATCGACGCCAACGGCAAGATCTACCTGCCATACCTGCACGAGTGGAAACACGTACGACTCCATCCATCACACGAAATTATTTCATTCTGATGTAATCTCAAAGAAGATCATGTTTTATGCACTTTAAATACACTTTGCCAGTGATTGATATTAGAAATCAGGAAGCCGGAACAGGTCAGATCTCTCACTCATTTTTTTAATTTGATTTCGCCCATCAGCCTCAGTCAGATCTGTACGGGCTCATCCAGGTCATGATTGTGGTGTTTGGTGAGGAGCCGCCTGTTTTCTCCAGACCCACCACACAACCTCCTTACCAGGCCTTTCAAGCAGCCGGACCCCCGAACCGTAAGCATAGCTTTTTAGCTCTTCAAGCCCCGTGTTCATGTGCGAATCTCACTATACAACTGACAAGAATTTTCCAAGAGAAATGGACAGTTTTAAATAAGAATTTCAAAATAAGTAGTTATATTATTTTTATAAAGAAAATTAAACTTTAGGAAAATCTAAATTTTTTTGTAGATTTTTTTATGCATACATCAATGTTATTTTAGTATTATTTATATAATGTTATGGTAATTATTAATATTTTGAATTGGCTTTTATATTTAGATTTTCAGTTTTCTTTTACTACAACTTAACCACTGATTTCTAGTCGTGTACTCTTTTGGAAGTCCAAACAAAGTAGTTTCGCTTTCACAACGAGAAACACAGCGTTTTCACGACATGGCGGCGACAGCAACAACAAAGTTAAGCCTTCTTTCTTTGCGTGAACATTTGGGCGGTGTTATGCAAATCTTCCCACATCGTGACGTAGACATGTGGGGGCGTGTTAGAACGAGCCGTTTTAGGTAGGCGTGGCTGACTCTTAACTTTTATAAAGAATATCTCTTTGGGTTTGAGACTTTAGTCTTTGCAACTTTAGGGATCTTATCTATTCACGAACAGCTTGTAACACTTCAAAGAGAAAGGAAAACTTGAAATCGCATCATATGACCGCTTTAAATATTTTAGTTGTAATTAATAACAACACTGATACACATGGTAGTATTTGTAACAGTGCATTTGTACTTGCATTTGTGGTTTACGGGCTCTCCATAGGCGTAATGGTATTTATACTGTACAAACTGTATTTTCTATCACCCTACACCAACCCTACACCTAAACCTACCCCTTACAGAACAACTGGCAATTTAGAATTTCATAAAACACTGTTTTGTATGTTTTTTTTTAAGCCTTTCGTTTTACGGTTTTTCGTTTTTCGTTTTTTCTATTCATTTTAATGGTACTGGAAATAAACTTAATTTAATTTTTGTATTTTTGCTAAATATAATTTGTTTGTTTGTTTTTTTTCTTTTGGTTTTAGCAATAGTACACAGGCATTTCTTGACCTGGAGATATATTTATGCAACTAAATTTTTTAGCTCAGATTGCTCATATATAAAATAAGCTTTACATGATCAATTAACCATTCCCAGTTGTCAAAGTAATGCCTGTTTTAAACAGCAGAGGTCTCCCAGCACCAGCAGTGCATATGTAAGTGTTTGTTTTGTGTCCTGCTCCTTGTTCCAGAGTCCTATATGCCAGGAATGCCAGCAGTATCTCCATACGGGCCCAACCCAAACCCCTGGTAATGACTCCTTCAGTCTGGCCAAAGATCATGCAACAGTCTAATCAACATTTAATAAACCTGTTAAAATTATTTGTATTTTTTTCAGCACTCATGATATGAAAACACTTTGTATAAAAACCTGTGTTGTAATTACAGAGTGTGATTAACTGGTTATGTAATGATTTGTGTCCGCTTCAGTGGTTATCCAGGTTACCCTTACCCAGGAGGCAATGCTTATCCTGCCACAGGCGGTCCAGCGCATTACACTTCCCAGACTCCTGTCACTACTGTGGGTGAGTTGGCATGTTTGCCTTTGGCTCAGTTTTATAGCTAAACTACATCATATACAATCATACTAGGGCTGTGTATCACCAGCAAAGTCATGATACGATACATATCCCGATACAGATGCCACGATACGGTACGTATCTCGATACGGGACTGCACTAATTTTCACCTTAGCAGAATTGAGTAAAACTTTTAATATAAATTTATATTGTAATGCACTCATACTAATATATTACAAAATCATCTTTACATTGCTGGTAGGTTATCATTTCACAAATTAACACACTTTCTACGTTTAAAAAAATAAAAATTAGAAGAATTCTAAACTAATGCGCTGTCTTCACCGTATCTATCGCACACACACATGCTCAGTCACTCACACAGATCATGTTGTGGCCGCACTCAGACATTCAGCAACACAAAGTTCTCAGTGCTGCCCCACAATTTTATCAATAAAATAGCTTAATCGCTCAAGAGCTACATTATCTTTCTCAACAAGGAACTGGTAACATAATCATTTCTAAAAGAATTAAAGCCACAGCTTTACTGTTAATAAAGAAACGCGGCAAAACGGTGGTAATTCATACATACACAGCCCCTCTCTCTTTCTCTCTTTCTCTCTCTCTCTCTCTCTCTCTCTCAAATAAACACTTGATGAATTACACTTTTCTGAGAATAGAATATTAAGTGGATACCGCTAAACTGCAAGCTTACCGGTGTTTTCAGAAAGCAAGCGCGTTTATCCACACTGGAGAGTGCGTGCACATGGTTGCCAGGTTGACAAAAGCAAGTAACACACTTAGCAGATATTTCCGTATTGCGCAAGTGTGAAGCTCTGTTTCGGGGATTACGTCTCTTTATATCAGGCAACCCCGGTTGTGTTCCTCTGCGGCCAGATTAAACCTTTTTGTAGCCTATATATTATGCTTATTATTATTATTATACTATGCTCTGTTCATTATTATTTAGAAACCTCGCACTTTTCTACTCCATTTTAAATGGTGTTCTTGTATTCAAATTAAGCGCAGTCCACTGCAGCGCACGTGCCACAATATCTATACAGGGCCAGCTGTATTGACACTCGTATCGTCAAATCTCTGTGACAATACATCGTTGTATCGAACACAGCACAAAATCATACTGCAAATCTCAGTAATCCTGGAATAAGCTATGTGGATTCAAGTTTCAGTTTCAGGTTGTAGTCTTCAGATGTCATTTTTCAGATTTGTTCTTAGCCCTCTTTCCATTTGAAATGGCAAAATTTAATCTGCATCTGTATTGATGTGAATTTGCAATGTTCTGTCTAAATCTGAGTTCATCCGTGTCCGAGTTCACTTGAAGTGGCAACACTGAGTTTGAAAAAGGGTAGATCTGAATTGGCAGTACTCAGTTTGAATCTGAGTCATTAAATGTGAACCTGGGTTAATCTGAATTATGAAGTAGCTGAACTGAAGTTGATTCTGAATTCATTTGAACTGGCAACATTCACTCAGAATATGTATTCATCTGAATTGGTAACACTGAATTTGAATCACAGTTCAACCAGACTGCTAGCATTCATTGTAAATCTGCATTAATCTGAATTGGTAGCATTAACTCTAAATTTGATTTAGAATTAACTAATTTTGATTAATTAGTGTTACTGTTAATATAAATTTGTTAGATTTAATATTAATATAAAATAAGTTAATCTGAATTAAAAGCATTCTAAGTTTATCTGAATCAGCAACACTTAATCTTAGCCACAGTTAAACTGAACTGCTAGAATTAATTTTGAATTTGAATTCATTTGAATTGCCAACAATTCAAGTTGATCTAAATTGACTGCATTCAGTATGGATAATCTAAATTAACAAACATGATGTCTTAATGTAATGTCTTAATCTGAATTGACAAAACTGAATTGGAATCAGAGCAATTGTTAGCATTCAGTTTGCATCTGAATTCATTTGATTTGGCAACATTCAAGCTGAACCTGGGTTATCCTACATTTGTAGCATTTACTCTGAATTTAAATGAGCAACATTCAGTATGAATATGAGTTGATCTGAACTGGCAACACTGAATCAGAGCTGAACTGAAATAGTAGCATTCAGTTTGAATCTGAATTAATTTGAATGGGCAACATTCAATCTGAACCGGAGTTCATCTACATTTTTAGCATTTAATCTGATTTTATATTCACAGCAATCAGTCTGAGTCTGAGTTCATCTAAATTTGCTGCATTCAGTATGTAAGTCAGTCTTAATTAGCAACATTCTATCTGAATCACCAGCACTGAATATGAATCAAAGCTGAATTGAATTGGTAGCATTCAGTTTGAATCTGAATTCATTTTAATTGGCAACATCTGAATCTTTGTTAATCTGAATTTATAACCACTACACTGAATTTAAATGAGTAACTTTCAGTATGAATATGAGTTGATCTGAACTGGCAACACTGAATCAGAGCTAAACTGGTTGAATTCAGTTTAAATCTGAAGTCATTTGAATTGGAAAAATTCAGTCTGAACCTGAGTTAATCTAAATTTGTAGCATTTACTCAAATTTACTGGGAACAGTCAATCTGAATATGAATTCATCTAAATTTGCTGCATTGAATATGAATATGAGTCAATTTTAAAGGGGTCATATGATGCGATTTCAATTTTTCCTTTCTCTTTGGAGTGTTACAAGCTCTTGGTGCATAAAGAAGATCTGTAAAGTTGCAA